AGAAAGGAGCTCAAGGGGGACTACTGTCTCCTGACTCCTACACCACCCTAGCAGAGCAGGCACCAGGCAACCGGAGACTCAGGCAGCTTTGCTGGAGGAAGGCAGCAAGGGTGGGGGCTCTGGGCGCCAGGCAAGCCTGGCAGGGAAGGGAGTGGAGAAGGCAGAGGAATGGAGATCCACAAGGAAGATTTATTGGGCAGATCAGATGCACAGAGGCGGCTAATGAAGCAAATCCCGAGATGGGTATCAGAGCAACTCCCCAAAAGTTTATTTGCCTTTAAATTTCCGCAGGGAGGCGGGCGCCTTGTTTGAAGTGTAAATGCCCCTGGGTTGGGGGGTGGATGGGCCGCTTTGAAAACACCAGAGAGAAAAGGTTCATTTAGAGGCGGACGGAAAAGCAACCAACCCTGACAGGTCGGAGCCCCGGTTGTGTTTGGGGTTGGGTTGTTTTCTTTCTTTCCCTTTCCTTTTCTCTTTCCTCTTCTTTCTTCTTCCCTTTCTTTTTTTTTTTTTCTTCTTTTTCTCTACTAGGCTCTATAGAAGAAAGGGAAGGACAGGAAAGGGAGCATCAGCGGGAGAGGCCAGCCCTTCAGCCTGGAGCCCCAGGAGAAGGCAGAGCCTTAGCTAAAATCACTAGGGAGCAGGGCTCTTTGACTTTCTAGACCCTGGAAGGGCTGGAGCTAAGGAGGAAGCTGCCAGGGCCTGGCCTGGGGGAGGCTGACCAACTCGTGTAGTGCTGGATGGAGAAGTGGTCCCAGAAGGGGCTGAGGTGAGGTGGGTGGAACTCTGGAATCTCAGGGGCTACCTGGGAATTGGGCTGTCATGGAAAGGTCTTCACTTCTTAGGGGGTACGTGTGAGAGAACTACGTCTAGCATACTTTGTGCATTAAGTCCCCTTCTTTACAAAAGGTGAAAGCGCCTCTTGCAAATGCCTGTTGTCTGCACCCACACGTCAACATACGTGTAACGTAGGGATGTGTCCGGCTGGTTCTAGAAAAACCTGAATCTATGTGTGGTTCTGCCCACAGTCTTGTTCCTCCAGTAGTTCAGCTTCTCAAAGACAACTTCCTGGACCAACACAGGGAGATGGGAGAGAAGGGCTCCCTGAGTTCTGAGTTCTGAGCTCCTATCAATAAGGACCTTTCCTCGATGCCCCCAAACCCCAATTCTGGGTTAATTACCTCCCCGAGAAAGCCCACGCCTGTACCAACTAACACCACCTAAGAGCCTGGACTCCCAGGCCTTTCCCTTTAGACTGAAAGAACTCTGGTTTTCCTTCTTCACTACCCACACGAAGTTAGTGCGTGTTCGTGGGGTTTTGAGGCCAAAGCAAACCCGAGAGCGCCATCTGCAGGTCTCCAGAGGAAGAGACTGACCTTCAGGGCTGGACCCTGCGTCTTCAACCTCCCGCCCTAGGTAATCTGCTTGGCCACCCGAGGGAAGTGGGGTTGGGGGCTGCGAGGGAGGAGGCAGGTGAAGAGGTGTTTTTCCTCTCAGAAGTTACTTAGCAGGTGGATTTAGGGGATCGGGCTCAGGAGGATCTAGGAAGTAGGGTAAATGCTAGGATCCCAGCAGACCCGGTCCCCTAATGAGTGGAGGCTCAGAAACATGTCAGGCTGCGCCTGGCCCTAGCCCCGTGAGAGGATTAAGGGCGCCCCCCCCCCAAAACCTGGGTGCAAGAGGCCCAGTAGGCGTTTCCTCCTGGCGGAGACGGGTGAGTGTAGCCCCTACGTTAGCGGCCGCCTGGGCTCCGCCTGCCAGCGGGACAGCCGGTTCTGCAGGCAGGGGCCAGAGGAGCCCCGAGTCCGGGAGGCTGGAGCGCAGCGCGGGCTTCCCCGAGCCGCCCTTTCACAGACCCAGGGAAGCGGGGGGAGGGAGTGAAGGAGGGAGAGAGAGTTAAAACATCAGCTGAAGTGCCAAGATGATTTATGAGACGAGGGAAAATATTTCATAAAGATCTCCTGGATATTCTGTACTTAACCAGTTAGGAGACAAAGGGCTTCTCCTGCCTGGTGCGTGCAAGCGAGCGGACCCGAGCGAGCGAGGGA